TAACAGTACAAAGTAGTTTTGTTAAGTATTAAAGGAGTGATGCAGATAGTAAGAGCTTTCAAGGGTTCAAAAATGAAGAGATCACTATGGACTCTGTGTATGTTTAGTGAGGAGTGGAGTGCCATGGAGTGGGAGGTGGGCATTCTAGGTTGGTTGGTATAAGCAAACTGAAGCTTGTAACATAGCTTCCCCATAGCTTTGTAAATGGGAGTGAGTCTTGGTATTGTGGTGCCATCTAGTGGACAAAGCACCACTTGTTGGGAAACCTTTGGGTTTCCCAACCCAACCTCCACTATCAGGCAGGCACTCAATTAAAGTATTGATTAAAACATCTATATGCCAGGGATTGCACTCAGAGATACATAAAAATAAGAAAGCTTATGATCTAGCTAAGGTCACAAGACTAAAAACTGCTTTTTCCTCATTACCCCCACCAGAGCTGCGCTCTTGAGAGTTACCTATGACCCTGCTCATGGGGAAATCCAAAAGCCTTTTAGTCAGGAAGTCAACATTTATTAGGCACCTACTACATGCCAGACACGGTGCTAAGTTCTAGGGATATAAAGAAATGCAAAAGACAGTCCCTGCTCTCAAGAAGCTCGAAGTCTAACATGTAAACAATTCTGTACACACAAGATATTCTCAGACAGAAGGCACTTAGATAAAGGAAGACTGGGAATGATTTTTTGTTTGGAGGCATGGGTCACACAGCTAGTTAAGTGTCTGAGGCCAGATTTGAACTCAAGTCCTTCTGACTTTTGGGCCTCTATCCACCTGGCTGCCCCTGGGAATGACTCCTTGCAGAAGGTTGGACTTTGCCTGAGACCTGAAAGAAGCCAGGAGGTAGATTTCCAGGCATGGGGACAGTCATGTCAGTGACAAGACATGGAGCGAAGAGATAGAATGAACAAAGAACAAGAGGCCAGTGTCTCTGGATCTCAGAGTACATAGAGGTAAGGTGGAAGAAGACTGAAAAGGTAGGAAAGTTATGAAGGATTTTACAGACCAAATAGAGTTTTCTATACGATCCTAGAGATGATAGGGAGCCCGTGGAACTTACCGAATTAGAAAATCAGACCTGTGCTTTGGAAAGATGACTTGGGCAGGTGAGTGAAAGATAGGCAGGAGGGTGAGAGATATGAGGGAGGGACATCAACCAGAAGACTACTGCAATGGTTCCGGTGATGAGGGCCTACACCAGGGCAATTACGGGTACATAAGAGAAAACAATAAAACAACAATTGTGAGAACGATCGAGGGGTTAAGGATGACACCTAGGTTGGGAGCGTGGGTGACTGAGACAGCGGTGATACCCTTGACAATAACTGGCAAGTTAGGAAGAGGAGAGCATTTGAAGGTAGAGGGATAATAAATTCAGTTTTGCACATGTTTAGTTGAAGATGTCTATTGAACAGGCCTCATGATGGGAAATGCTATCCACATCCAAAGAAAAAACTATGGAGTTCGAA